AAGGAGTGCTTCATTGGAGCCAACCGGTTGGGGACACAGACAGTCTCGGGAGCTGTACTGTGACCCTGGGCAGTGAAAACGCAGGGCTTTTAAGCAGAAAAACCACAAAATCCACAAAGCAGGGCATGTCCATAGAAACTATACACAGAATAACCAAGAAAGGGTTGGAACAATCTAGGACTGATTTCCAGACTTTACCTATACAGCCATTGGCTATCTTACCTGAAGCAGAATGTTCTTTCTCGTCTGCCCCAGATTATTCCCATAGAAACCATACACAGATATATCAGGTATACTGCCATTAGCTAGCTTACCTGGGGCAGAACATTCTATCTCTTCTGCCCCAGTCCATTTCTATAGAAATCATAAACAGATACCAGGAAAGGGTTTGAACAATGGAGGGGATTTCCAGAGTCAGGTGGAGGGTAGCTTTTTCTCAGAGGATAAGGACAGGGTCTGAGGGGCACTCTCCTTCAAAGCTTTTATTTATTTATTTTATTATTTTTATATGTATGCATGTATTGCCTGCATGTAGGCAAGTGCTCCCGTGTGGTGCAATGCCTGAGGAGTACAGAAGAGGCTGTCGGATTCCCTGAAACTGGAGTTACAGACAGTTATTAGCTGTCATGTGGGTGCTGGGATTCAAACCCAGGTCTTCTGCAAGATTCAAACCTGGGTCTTCTGCAAGAACATTCAGTGTTCTTAACTGCTGAGCCATCTCTCCAGCCTCTACAGGAAGCTTTTAAAATTGCATATTCACTGGGTGTGGTAGCACATACCTTTGATCCCAGCAGTCTGGAGGCCAACCTGGTCTACAGAGAGTTCCAGGTCAGTTGTGGCTATAGAGAGATCTTGTCTCAACTCTCTCATTTGCATATTTATGGGCCTTCCTTCACCCTAAAAACTTTTGTTGAACTGGTATGGGTGCTGGAATATCTCATTCTTAAGAGTAGGAGTCACAAAGAAGGTACACCCCAAGGGTCCCTTGTGAAGGTAGAAGATTTTGGAAGACCAGGCCCTCTATGTAGGAATTTACTTTAGGGAAACAGGGAGGTTTGGTCTTGGACTTCAACTCAAACATTGTTTTTCGTATGGTGTTTTTGAGACAGGGTCTCCCTGTAGTCCCACCTGGCCTGGAACTCCCTATGTAGAACAGGTTGGACTCAAACTCACAGAGATCCTCCTGCCTCTGCTTCCTGAGTGCTGGGATTATCGGCATGCACCACCACGCCTGGCCCAAAGTTTACTCTTAAAGTGACTTTTCACATTGGCCCAACTTCCTAGGACACCATTTCCTCAGACCTCCAGCCTCATGAGATAGCACTTAACCCCCATCCCCAGATCTTCCCATCTGTTCCCCATTTATTCTTCCCATTTGTAAGATACTACCCTTCATTCCTTGCTCCAGTACTCAGCAGTTCAGACTGGCATGTATCTGAGGGGGAACCCATATGTGTTTTTCTGTAACAGCATGGTAACAGTGCCTTGATCTGAAGGACAGGCTTACAAGAGGCTTTCCAGAGCTCTTTCTCATACTGCTCCATTTGACAAGGAGGTACACTTGGTTTTGTTCTGAGTCTAATCAAGAAAGGGTCTGGCCAGGCATCCCTCTGATCCGTCTTTTGAGAGGGAGAAGCAGGAGGATTGCCACAAGTTGGAGGTCAGCTGGGTTACATAGTGAGATTATCTCAAAAACAAAAATACAACCAAAAAAACCCTCCCATCCAAGAAAAAACTCAGAGTGTGAAGGAAGAATTTTATAGCACAAAAGGAAAGCTAAATGATAAAGGCTGGGTGTTTTCTAAATAAACACTTGCCTAGAGATGACATGTCTTTGCCCTCAGTTTCCAGCAATAATTGTTGGTCTCTGAGCAAATACCAGGCCATTTTTTTCTACTCATAGCTAGAGAAATTCTGAGGTAGACAGACTTGAATTGGCTTCAGGGCCTTGGTGTTTAGGGAAGAAAGTGGGGTAAAGGCAAAGAGAAACCCTGCCAGGGCTCTCCTACCTGCCCACCCACCAGCATCCTACTTAAGTAGCTACACTCTGTAGAACATCTCTGGGTGGGCACAGCCCCAGTGACCACAGGACACATGAAACCCAAATTCTGAGATTGGTCAGAGAGTGAAGATTAATCTGAGATGGCTAGATTGTACCTCCCTGACTAAGCAATAGAGAGACAGGAATTCTGGTGGACCAGAGGACTGGGGGAGGTCCTTGGAAATGGGCCTGAAGGATATGTGAGATCAGAAAGGTGTAGAGGGCATATAATTGGCAAGAATAAAAGCCGATAGGCTTTTCTTGACTTTAGTCTGCCCCAAGTATAAATTAGTAGAACAGTCATCCTTTTACAATCGAGGTCTTAAGAAAATCTATTTTAGCCGGGGAAGGTGACTCACGCTTTTAATCCCGGCACTCAGGAGGCAGAGGCAGGTGGATCTGAGTTCAAGGTCAGTCTGGTCTACATAGTGAGTTCCAGACCAGCTGGAGCTACAGGGAGACCCTGTCTCAAAAAGACCAAAAATAAAGAAAATTTATTTTGTGGGTATAGCTGTATTTAGATATTTAGGATGCTTACCTAGCATGCCCCAAGCCCTTGGTTCCTGCTCCAGTACTAGATAAACCAGGGTATGTTGGCACACTTTTATAATTCCTGCACTTGGGAGTAGATGCAGGAGAATCAGAAGTGCAAAGTCATCCTTGGCTACATACCAAGTTTGAGGCCGGCCTGTTCTACATGAGATCCTGTCTAGAAAAAGAAAAAAAAGTTCCAGGTCAAGTGGCACACAGCTATAATCACAGGATTCAGAAGGCTGAGGCAAAGGCAGGACTGGTGGGATGGCTAGTAAGTAAAGGCTGTGGCTCCAAGTATGAGTTCAATTTCCAAATAATAAATGCATAAATAAATAAATCTTAAAATAAAGGCTGAGGCAGGAGGAGCGAGACCTTTAGGCCAGCCTGAGTTATAGAATAAGACCATTTTCAAAAAACCAAAACTAGCCAGGTGTGGCAGTGCATGCCTGGAATCCCAGTTCTTGGGAGGCAGAGGCAAGTGAATCTCTGAGATTGAGGCCACCCTGACTTACAATAGGGTGTTTCAGGCCAGCTGGGGCTACAGAGACCCTGTTAACAAAACAAAACAAAACATTCCAAACATCTCTCAACCCCTGCAAAATCCAAAGAATTATTAAGTCCATAGGCTTAAAGTTACACAGAAGTGGTAAAAATCTGTCTGTGGGCGTTTCCATACACACTCAGGGGAGTCAGGTCTCTCCTTCCATATGTGGGTCCTTCAGATGAAACTCAAGTTTGTCAGACTTGGTGGCAAGTGCCTTAACCTGCTGAGCCATCTGGTTGGCCCCAATAAGGTGTTTTTCAACAGTAGTAGGGCTTCATATTCATGATTTATAGCTGACAAGAGATGTGATGACAAGTGCATCATATTTAAAGGTGCTTTAGGTCATTATATTTAAAGTTGTCATACATTGGGAAGAATGTTGAAGGTGCTGCAAGGGAAAATGGTACTTGCCAGTGACATTACAAAGAGGGATTTACAGACCATTTTAGTAGAAAATGGGAAACACATTCATGACACAATACAAAAAGACAACCCTTTCACTTCCCTTTCCAAAGAAAGAAAACAGCAGGGTTGGGGATGCAATTTAGCTCAGTAGAAGAGCACTTGCCTAACATATTTGAGGTCCTGGGTTAAACTGCCAGCATGGCAAGGAAAAAAAAAAAAAAAA